GGATCATCAGGTGCTATTCTCTCTTATATTATGTGTAAAGCCATGAATAGAAATTTAACAAGTGTTATTTTTGGTGGATTTGATGTTAATCCAGCTGCTATTTAATCTACTAAAGTTGAAGGTACTCACACTGAAATCAATGTTGAATAAGCTGTTGAAATGATGGTTGGTAGCAAATCTATCATCATTGTTCCTGGATATGGTTTGGCAGTTGCTAAAGCATAATATCCAGTTGCTGAAATGTGCAAGACACTTATTGATTAAGGAATTAAAGTTAGATTTGGTATACATCCAGTTGCTGGTAGAATGCCTGGTTAATTGAATGTCTTATTAGCTGAAGCTGGTATTCCTTATGATATTGTGTTTGAAATGGATGAAATTAATGATGATTTCCCTGATACTGATCTTGCTGTTGTAATTGGAGCTAATGATACTGTAAATTCAGCTGCTGAAGAGAATCCAAATTCACCAATTGCAGGTATATTATTCAATTAATTTTTTAGGAATGCCTGTATTAAGAGTTTGGGCTGCTAAATAATGTATAGTTATGAAGAGATCCATGGGTGTTGGATATGCTGCTATTGATAATCCAGTATTCTATAAACCAAATAACAATATGTTATTAGGAGATGCTAAGAAAACTTGTGATGAACTTTCCTCAAAAATAAAAGAACATTTTAAATGATAAATTAATTATGTTGTACAATTTCATATAAATATTAAAAATAAAATTCATTTTATCAAATTTGTTAATTTATCTATTAATTCTTGATTTTGACTTTCTGAGTATGCTTTAGCTACCAAGACATTTAGAGTTTAATTTGGTAATCTGTCCTTTACTTGCATTAATTCAATTACATATAAAATTAAATCATCACCAGATAATTACATTTCATATATATCTTATTATAATTTAGAATATAATTATTATGATCCTAATTATTTTCTTGCCATAGATACATAGATTGACATCATATTTTCAATTCTAATATGTGAATTAATTATATAGTATTCTATTTCTGCTTCACATAATTCTAATGAAACAACATTTTGTTAGGATATAACTTGTAATGATTATGTAAATAGATCTTCATTTATAGTTTTTAATTATTTTCTAAATTATTCAATAAAATCATTCCAAAACTCAATATTACCATTATTTGTCAATCCCATTCCCGTTGCTATTCTCATATATGAATGAAAATCCTTATCTAATTTTAAACAATGTTAGGCAATATCGTCCCATAATTATTTATCTTTGTATTATCCCAATGCTAAACCAATGCATGCTGCACCCAATTATTCTGCATTTGTTTTAGTAACATNGGATCATCAGGTGCTATTCTCTCTTATATTATGTGTAAAGCCATGAATAGAAATTTAACAAGTGTTATTTTTGGTGGATTTGATGTTAATCCAGCTGCTATTTAATCTACTAAAGTTGAAGGTACTCACACTGAAATCAATGTTGAATAAGCTGTTGAAATGATGGTTGGTAGCAAATCTATCATCATTGTTCCTGGATATGGTTTGGCAGTTGCTAAAGCATAATATCCAGTTGCTGAAATGTGCAAGACACTTATTGATTAAGGAATTAAAGTTAGATTTGGTATACATCCAGTTGCTGGTAGAATGCCTGGTTAATTGAATGTCTTATTAGCTGAAGCTGGTATTCCTTATGATATTGTGTTTGAAATGGATGAAATTAATGATGATTTCCCTGATACTGATCTTGCTGTTGTAATTGGAGCTAATGATACTGTAAATTCAGCTGCTGAAGAGAATCCAAATTCACCAATTGCAGGTATATTATTCAATTAATTTTTTAGGAATGCCTGTATTAAGAGTTTGGGCTGCTAAATAATGTATAGTTATGAAGAGATCCATGGGTGTTGGATATGCTGCTATTGATAATCCAGTATTCTATAAACCAAATAACAATATGTTATTAGGAGATGCTAAGAAAACTTGTGATGAACTTTCCTCAAAAATAAAAGAACATTTTAAATGATAAATTAATTATGTTGTACAATTTCATATAAATATTAAAAATAAAATTCATTTTATCAAATTTGTTAATTTATCTATTAATTCTTGATTTTGACTTTCTGAGTATGCTTTAGCTACCAAGACATTTAGAGTTTAATTTGGTAATCTGTCCTTTACTTGCATTAATTCAATTACATATAAAATTAAATCATCACCAGATAATTACATTTCATATATATCTTATTATAATTTAGAATATAATTATTATGATCCTAATTATTTTCTTGCCATAGATACATAGATTGACATCATATTTTCAATTCTAATATGTGAATTAATTATATAGTATTCTATTTCTGCTTCACATAATTCTAATGAAACAACATTTTGTTAGGATATAACTTGTAATGATTATGTAAATAGATCTTCATTTATAGTTTTTAATTATTTTCTAAATTATTCAATAAAATCATTCCAAAACTCAATATTACCATTATTTGTCAATCCCATTCCCGTTGCTATTCTCATATATGAATGAAAATCCTTATCTAATTTTAAACAATGTTAGGCAATATCGTCCCATAATTATTTATCTTTGTATTATCCCAATGCTAAACCAATGCATGCTGCACCCAATTATTCTGCATTTGTTTTAGTAACATCAAATTCCTTAACAAATTTATTCATTATTTATTTATTCTAATAATCATAAAAAGCAACCATCTTGCCCATTATTGACAATCCAATCGCATATTACTAACAATTCTCAATGATCTATTCTATTTCTTTGACTTATTCCTTTGATAAATTTGAAGTTGGCATAATTATTTTATCTAAAAGTTAATATTTGATTTATTAATCATCAAAATTCTTAATTGCTGTCAATAAATAGTCTGTATTATCATCATCCACTAATTAGTCATGCTTCATTAAATCTACAACACAATTTAATTGTTCTCCATTTAATTATGTAAATTATTGTCTTGTATCCAAAATCAACTATTTGAACTCTCTCAATCAAATTATTCAATACCTTAACAACTTATATCATGTTTCCCTTTGAATTTCATTAACTATTCTAACTTTGAACTTCTCATTACAATTTTCATAAAATTTCTAAGCATTTTATAATAAAAAATAGTACCAGAAATATAATTAAAAAATCACTTTAATACATTTGCTTGAAAGATGATACTTAATAAATTCAAACTTCAAATTCTTAAAATTTAAAAGGAATTTTAAAAGTAGCCAAATATTTGAGTAATTCTTAAAATTACTTTCAGCTAGTAATATAAAATTAATTAGCTTTATAGGAATTATTTATAGCGCTACTTTGAATCTAGTAAATAAATTCAAATAATTCACAGGCTTCCACTAGAATGAACACTTAGGAATAACATAACCATATAAATAATCAAAATGAAATAGCAAATGATTCAAAACAAGCTACAAACAAGAAGACTCTTAAACAGTAGAAACTAGATGATAAGTAAGAACTCAAAAAGCCCATTAATGGAAAACTATAGTTTGGTGATAAGTCTATATGTCGACTATGCAAAGTTTCCACAATGTCTACACTTACTATTATTTGCATTCGATGTCATTTCAAATACCATTAAGAATGTATACGCACATAAAACTAAGAACCATAAATTTAGGATGGTAAAAAATGGCATTGTTTGTCTTGCCTAGATAGAATAGAGAAAATAAAATTTAAGGAATCAACACTTTAAAAAAAGAAACAGTACAATTAAATACAAGATTTCTTTTAAAAAACAGTTCAACCATAAGAAGACAGAATCAAAAAGCTTAATGAATTTTAGATGCTTTATCCTACTTATATATAATAAGGTAGAGTATCCTTTCCTATATTGGATGAATATTTGACAGCATACTAAGGATTATTCAATATTGAACCCAAAAAGAAGCCCGCTCTTCGAATAGATCCAGTAATTCCTTAAGAAATATTTGAAGATATACTAAAAATTTGGGATACTTACAATAATATGAACAAAATTATAAGTGATATTCTTCAAGAACAATAAATAGAAGGTATATTTTAATAAATATTGATTATAGCTTAATAATAATCAAACAACATTGGAACTTTGATTCACTTTCAAGATAATCTTATATTATATAATCAAAAATCGAGAGTAGAAATCTATTAAACTTTGTAGCATAATCCCCAAGAACTAATCTTATTTTTTTGCTATTTCTATTTAAAATAAATTATTGAAGATTTGGATATAGAATAAATGTAAAAATAATAATATGTATTATATATATTTTATATAGAAAATACCTTATTGGCAACTTATGGGATACATGTGGTATACAAATAGATAGAAATATTATTAATTGATAAGAGATGATGTAAAATAATTACCAAAAAATATATCTAAATAAGGTATTTTATAAATCCCTGATGATTTAATTGATTATGTTGATTATTCAAATATTAGTAAATTGACAAAACTTGTAATTACTTTGGCTGATGGAGTAGAATCTTTAAAGAGAACTTAGTTTCTCTACTAATAAAGAATTGAAAATATACTCTCAAATAATAAAATAAAAACTTAGTTGGGAATGTAAATCAAAGAATAAAGAAGTAAATAAGTAGAAATAAATAATGAAATTACTGAATCTGATAGTCATTTTTAAATGGCAAAAGTAAAATTTATTTTTAATTTAATTTAGTCAAAATTATTGGAAGAAGGATTAAGTCGTACAGAAACTTAATAATTTAGTCAATAAATGGAAAGTGCCTAAAAGCAAACCTAAAAATTAAAATAATAATTTTAAAAATTAGAAAAAGAAATTAAGAATTTAACATAAAGATTCAAATAATAAGAAAAGGTATTATAATATTAATAAATATAAGGAATTGGCTATCATATAAATTACATCTTTAGTATTAAATCCTTCTGTTTTCTTAGGATATGATAATAAGAATAGTTAATATTATTTCTTCCTTTGGGAAACAGATAAAATCTTTGTCTGTTAGAAGCATTCAATAATTGATGATGAAATTTCTTAATGGGGTTATTATGATCTTATAGATGTTAATGTATTAATGGAAATACTTTGTTAAAAGGGAGTTAGAGAAAATTAATTAAGAAATAATATATTAGAATTATAAAGATAAAAATTGTTAATAGTAAATTAAGAAGAGGAATAGAAAGAATTAAAAGTGAATGACTAAAATAATGATATAGATATTGAATAAAATCAAATTAGTAGTACAAAAGATTAAAAAATAAATAGTTTAGAGAATTTAGATATTGATATGTTATTATAGGAATTTATAAATATTGAAAATATGTTGAATGATTATTTAAATCAAAGAAATTCAAGATGGTGTAGTAGTGAAATTAGAAATGCATTTTTAATTAGTTTCTAAAATGTAATTTAAAAAAAATTGGATAAGAATTATGATGAATAGGATCTTGCTCCTTTTTGTAAAGCAATCGAATTTTTTGTTGATAATACTATGATATAAGAAAAATTAGTATTAAGACCTGAAGAAGAAATTTATGGAAATGAGAAACTATAATAATAAAATGATGAAGAAGAATCTTATTAGTAATAGTTTAGAAAAAGGAAAGTTATTGATGATGATTCTTCTTCTGAATAGCAATTATAAACAGCAGTTTAATAATTAGAATAATTAGATATAGGTAAAGTGAGAGTTAGAAAATTGCCAATGAAATTATTCGGCACATGTTATGAAACTTTGAGATTGAATTTAATAGAATAATTAAAATAAGATTGTAATCTAGTCAAATTGAAGATATGTTTAGAAGTTCTTGGTTAAATAGTTTAAGATTACATAAATAGAAAAATTACACAATAAATAGTACCTGAAAAAAAAAAAGTAGAAGAAGTGAATATCAATAAATAAACCCAAATAGAATATGTTTAAGAATCAGAAATTAAATTTGAAAGTTCAAGATAAAGTTAAAAATAAAGAATAAAGTCTAAATCATAGTCAAATCATATTGAGAATAAATGGGAAGATAAATGTAAGTCATGTGGAAAAGGAGGTAAACTTATTTGTTGTGATACTTGTCCTAAAGTATTTCACACTAAGTGTTTAGGACTTAAAGAAGTACCAAAAGGAAAGTGGAATTGTTTAGTTTGTTTAAATAATTTTGAGAGATAAGTCAAAACTAGAGCAATTATTAAGAAATTAGAAAATTAATGAACCATTGTTTTTTATATTAAATAATGATTTGTGAAATTATTAATATTGCACTCAGTACACTTCCTTAAAAAGAAAGAATTTCTTTTCCTAATACTACATCTTCTCTTGTTAATTCTAGTCATTTATCATTTAAATCAAAATAAATTTCTAAACTACAAATACTCAAACCTTCATTAAGTCAAGATTAAAAATTTGAAGCATCATTGTGCTCATTTGGTATCATATAGTAATTATGAGACTTTAAATTATTAATGTCTGATGAAGGGAGCATTATCAATTAAAAATTACTTACTTTGGAAATAATTGAAATGAGGTTTATATTAGATTAAGATTAAAGTTAAATTTATTCTTAGCTACAACCATTCAATTAATACTTAGATATTTTAGAGTAGTATGTATTTTTTTGTTCCTTATAATAAATATTGAATTACAATTGAACTACTTTAATATTAAAGAATATACCTAAATACATGAAATCAAATGATCTAAAAAATCTCCTCGAAATAAGGAAATTTAGGTTATGCTTTTGTTAATTTTAAATATCCAAAACAGTATTAATTTTTTTTAAGAAATACAATAGTTTAGTATCTAAATTCTTTCAATTTACATTTACTTTTGATCTTTTTATACTAAAATTATTTTTAAATCATAATAGTTGAAAAATCAGATGAAAAACTTAAATGAAATCTTAGATTAATCATAATAATAAGTGGAATATAAATGATAAAGTAGACTAAGATATTTATTATTAAAGCAAATCTGGGAAGAAGAAAACTAATCAACTAAATAAATGAATGACAACATTTTCAATAGAAATTTTTATGACTTTTTGTTTTTTTTTCAAATTTTGAGAGTATACAACTATAACTCTTTAATTGGTTAAATTTATTTTGAATAATATTAATTTTATAATTATTAAATATAAATAGAATGAAAAAATTATTACATTAAAAAGGTCTCCTTCCAGAAAAACTCTCATAAAATGATTTATTGAATGAAGCAAGATTAGCCTTTTTAAAAAAATAAAAAACTTAAAAAGAATTAGAACAAATTGAATTATTTATGCTATCATTAAGTTTTGTATAAAAATTAAAATCGCAATATGGACCTCTTATTGTTGCTGATTTATGTAGAAACTTATCTTATTTAAGAATTCCAGCAGGCACTTAAAGTAAATTTCAATTAAAATTTTAGTCATTTAAATTAACAAAGAAAATAGAACTTTTTATGTTATCTTATCTGGTAAAGTAAGTATTAGCATATATGTTCAAAAAGGTTAAAGAAAGAGTTCTTTGAAAGTGATTTAAAATAATAATATTACTTAGCACTCTAGTTTATATTAAATATAATAAGCATCAACATAAGGTATAATACACACTCAACCATCATTAAAAGGCGATGAAGAATAATTTAGCCTTTAAGAAATCAAGACACTTGAATAAGGGGATTCCTTTGGAGAATTAGCCTTAATAAAAGATAATCTTAAAGCAACTGCAACAGTAACAACTAAGTCAGATTGTGAGTTTGGTTGTTTAACTAGAAAACAATATATAGACATTTTAGGAAAAATTAGCAAAGTTATTATTTTATTAAGTTTAGAATTTACATCATGAAAAACTTGTCTTTTTGTAAACAATTCCTCCTTTAAAGTAATGGAATGATGAAGATTTAAAACAATTGTCTTATTATTTAGTGTTGAAACATTATGTAAGAAATTAAATAGCTGTTAGAGAAGGAGCAGATAACACTTAAATATTTGTTGTAAAATATGGAGTATTTCATGTTATTAAACAATATTAAGGATAATAATTTATATTAAGTGAACTTTAAGAATCAGAAATATTTTATTAACATCCTAGTGAATTGAAACATTAATTTTCTCTTCGATGTGCTTCAGATGGTTCAAGCTTATATGAATTCTCTCATTACGATTTTAAAAAATATGCGGAAAATAATATAATAGAAGATTTTGTTAATTTAGAATAACAAAAATAAATTTGGAGAATGAAAAAGTTTGAAGAAAGAGTTTTTGATGTTAGAGATGTACATCATTAAGAATAAGAACTTATTGAAACTAAAATAGAATTTAAGAAAACTATTAAATTATATGAAGATCTTAAAATTAGGTGTAGATCTGCTAAGAGAAAAAAGACTCCTATTAAAATAGAAGAAAATTCTATCTAAAAAACTTAAAGGTTAGCTTAAATGGCTCTTAAAAAAAATTAAATACTTAGATTTGGAGATGATTAAGGTGAAAATTCATTCACTCTTCCAGCTATAAGAAGTACTTCAAGAAAAAAGATATATGTAGATTTAATTGATACAGAAAAGAGTTTTGAAACACTAGATTAATATAATATTGGGGATTCAGAAAAATATTAATTATATTTTGACCATTCACATCCTTGGAGGAATTTAAATCAAAAAAAATAATAATTTAATTGATTAATTTATTTCTTAACTAAATTTTTCATTTTATTTTCATTATACTGAATTTGCAAACTTTTATATAAAATCTCTTAACATTCTATTTAGCTTATTTAGTTCATTACTAAATTAATATAATTTAATACGCATTCTTTGATCCTGAAATCTTTTCCAATTCATCAATCCCTCTAACAACAACTCCAACTTTTTCAAATGCAATTATGTAATCTTTCTTTATAGTTATTAAATCTTCATTAACAGTTTGCTTTAGATCTGTATTTTTTCTATCTGATAGTAAATCCTTATAAAAATTCAATTTTTACACAAGCTATAATATAGATAAAAAATATTTACTTTTTTTTAAAGACTTGTCAATTCTTATTCTAAAATCAAACCTTAATTATCATTTAAAACTGCAGTTCTGTTTAAAAATTAGTTCTTTTCTAAATCTTTTTATTATTATTATATATATTCTTAATATTTTTATATTTGATTTAAATACTATTAATTTTAATTTGTTAATTATTTAATTTCTGATTACAATTTAAGTTTTTCATTTGATAATTAAGCCAATTATTCTTAATGGATTTCTTATTATTTCTCTAATGTTTGATTAAGTTTTTAATTCTCTTAAATTTTATCTTTGAGTTTTTTTTCAGAAATATCTATTTATTAAATAAATTAATCTTTTTAGACAGTTAATTCAAAAATCATATTCTCAATTTTTTCTTATTTTTTTAATTATTATTGTTATATTTTAATTTCTTCAATCTTTTGATTTAATAATTATTATAAATCTTTTGTTTTTTAATTAAAATTCTCTTACATCTAATGAAGATCAATTTCAAATTATTATTTTTCAACTTAAAGTTACTATTATAACTTTGCTAATTTCTAATCAAGTTCTGATTTTTATTTTTATTATAATAATGTGTTATTTATATGTTATTTTGATTCATTTTTACAACTTATAAGTGTATTCTATAATTCATTAATAGATTTTTCTGCTTATTCTTTATAATCATTAAATTCTTCAGTTACTAATTTATATTCTTGTTCAATGTTTTCTCTCTTTTTGTTTTCTATATCTAATTAATTTTATAACTTTTAGATTTCATCATTCTATTATATATTTACCTATTCTAATTATTCAAAAGAGATCTTAAGGTCTTCTATTTATTTAAAATACGAATTTTCTTTTAATAATTGATTTTCCAATTTAACTTGAATTTCTTAATTTTCAAGTAATATTTAATTATACTTAATTTAAGAATCTTAAATAGTATTTTTCTATATTTAAATCATTTCTAATTAACCTAACATAGTCTAGTTTAATTAATCAATTTAAGATTTAGAGTTTTCATTTTATAATTCTAATTCTTCAATTCTATGAGATTTTTCATTTATTTCAATTTACATTTTTTAATAATTTGTGTTTGTTTATTAAACTAAATTGTTTTAATTAAGATATTCATCTTTTAATTGATTAATGCTTTAATTTAATAATTCAATTTAATCTTTTAATTTTTAATTCTCATTTTTTAATTCATCTAACTCTAATTCAAGATTTTTAATTTTTTATACATTTATTAATGATATTTAGTTTTATTCATCTTAATCTTTTAATTTTTATTATTAATATTTTAATTATAAATCTTCAATTTGAGCTTAATTATTTTACTATTAAAGAGTTAATTCATTTTTTAATTTTGCTAATTCTAATTATAACTAATTAATTTCAAGACCTTATTATGTAGCTTTTTAAGTACTTGCTAATTCTTTTTAATTGCTGTCTTTAAGAAATTCTTAAAGTTCTGCTATCATAGTACTTTATCTATTAATTTACTCTTTTAATTATTCTGTAGCTTAATTGTATTCTTCTTTATTTATATTTTTTTCATTTTCAACTTAAATCATTGAATTCTTTAATTAATTTAACTCATAATTTAAATCTTTTACTTGTGTTTGTAATTCATAAACTTATTAATTGCTATTTTTCTATAGTCTTTCCCTTTCCAAAATTAAAGAAGTAACTTCTTACTTTTATTTATCTAATTATCTTTATAATTCAGAAATAACTTCTTATTTACTTGATATTTCATTCTAGAATTTCTATACTTAACTATCCAAATTTGTTATTTAATTTTCTTTTTCAAAAATTGCTGACTATTTTGATGACATAATACTTAAACGTTATTCATCTTGATCTTTTATATTTTATTATAATTATTATATTTAGTAATTTAAATCTTAAATTGTAGTATTTGCTTATGATAATTATGATTTTTATTTTTCAATTACTTAAGTTAATTATGCTTCTTTACTTTATTTTTCACTTTCAGCATCATTTTTTTACATTTTAGTCTAAGTTAATTCTTATAAATATTATTTCATTTGCAATTCATACTATTAGATTGTTGTTCTTGAATCTTATTCTTATTATTTTTATTATTTTTTTAATTATCTAATTTATTCTGATAATTAAGTAATCTATTGATTATTTTAATCTAATAAGATTTTATAGTCATCAATATTTTTGGTAATATTTGTTTCTTATGATTTGGAATGTTCTTATAAAATATATAGTTTATCATTAAGTTATTAAATTAAGATTTATTTTTACAATAAATCATCTTTATGTTGTGTTATTTCATTTGTAAATTTTATTTCAATTTATTTATTTAATTCCTTTTCTTAAGATAATTCCTATTAATGATTTGTAATTATTTTTTACAATTATAATTTCTCTTCATTTGCTTTTTTTAATAAGGATTATTTTTAATCTTCTAATTATGTAATATTAGAATTAAGATTTTGAATTAAATCACTATATTTTTATTCTATTTCTTATTAACTTAAATTAAATTATTTTTTAGCTTAATCTAAATCATTATTTAATTAGTTATTTAATTAATTTAACTATATAATTTCTTAATCTTTTTCATTTTTATAAGTTGTATACTCTTTATTTAAAATTTAATTATCTTCTTATAATTATTGATTTTAATTTTAAAGTAATTATAATTATTCATTTAAATTATTCAATTCTTAATTTAGTTCATATTGTTCATTTTGAAATTTTGATTCTAATTATAATTATTCATTTTTTTAATTTTGTATTTAATATTAAAGTTAATGAATAAATTCTTAATTCTATTTAAGTTCAATTTCAACATCTCTTTTACTTTATGCTAATTCTTTTTCTAATTATTCTTTATTTTTAAATAATTAATCACATTATTAATTAAGTTGATCATTTAATTCAGTCAATTCATTAATTTTTTTATTCATTAAATCTATATTTATTTGATTTTCTTATAGTTTATCTTATTATTCTTAATTTAATTATTTTAATTTATCAATTTCTAATTTTGATAAGTTTTAAATTTGAGTAGCTTTATTAGTTAATTATTAAATTTATGAAAATTATTAAGCATTTGTTTTTTATAATTCTTATAATTCTGCTTAACATTTATGAAGTTCACCAATTAATTTAATTCTTTCTTTTGCAATATCACTAATTTCTTTTTATTCTGCTTCTTAAACTTCTCTTATTTTTAATTCTTTTTCTTTAATTTATTCTGATAATATTTATAAATTTTCTTAAAGATCTTAAATCTTTGAATCTTTTTATTAATTATCTTTTGTCATAGAATCAATTGTTTTTTGTAATTCATCTAATATTACTTGCTATTTTTTTCTAAATTATTCTTCTGCTGTTCCCAACCTATCTAATTTAATTTTAAATTACTTTTATTATAATTGTAAACATTCTTATTATTTCAATTATAGATTTTATTCTAATTCTTATTTTCTCATTTCAATATGAATGTGTTATTTTTCATCATTTTCATACCTTTAAATTCTTGCTTTCAACTTTCTATTTAATATGAATAAAATACTCTATTTAATTCTTTAATTCTTCCTTTTCAAATCGAAATTTATTATTTTAGAATTTAGAGTTCCTTTTAAATTAACAATAATAATTACCCTTCATCTTATTCAAGATTTTAATTTTTTTATTGCTAAATTTAAGATGATTATTGAAATTAAGAATCCCCTATAAAATTATCAGATTTATTGGTTTATATTGATTGTGTATTAATTTCATCTTTCTATTAAATGAGAGATTAAGCAACTTATTGCTCTTATTTAATTTCTTATTGAACTTAACCTACTAATTATTATATTTTATTCGTTTCTTCTCTTGACATTGAACTTCTAGTAAAGACTTCACTTTTTCTTTATGGAGGTGGTTATTATTATAAAGGAGTAGTAGTTTTAATCATTGATTAAAACTTTCCTGCCAGTTGTTTTACAGACTATCTATTTGATTCTGGCTGATCTTCACTCATAAATTAATTATAAAATAATTTTGGTTTGTTTTCACTTTATAAGAGACACAAAGTAAAATTATGTTTGTATTTTAAGAATATGAAATAGGAAAACCATTAGGAAATTTCAATAAACATGTTTTTCTAATAATGAATGCCTAGATTAATTATTATAACTATGAAACATAAAAATTTATACTCTCCTCATTATTAGAGCAATAGTTTCAGTAGGTTCACTAGCAAATAAGATCTTTGTATTGATTCTTCATATATATCGAAATATTTAGGATAACAAAAACATTTACTTTCTCCATAAAAATTTATGTCAACAATGTATTCAAATAGATTTGAAAATAATACTCTTAATTCACCTATAAGTGATAGAAGTCATAGTAATAATCAATATAAACAATTAACAAAAAACTATTTTCAAAAAAAATATCTTCTATTGACAGCAGGTAATGAAAAAAGTATAAAAGCATGGAGAAATTACTTAATTAATAGTTTCAGGAAAAAAATTGAAGATTTTTTTAATATTAAGAAACTCATTCTCTCTCCTTAAAATAGAGGAAGAAAACTTAAATTAGGTCGTTTTAACAATTCTATTAAACATTATTGTTTTTTGAGTGATGAAATTATTGCTTTGAATGCATTAGTCAAATAAAAAGTACCTGGAATTGATTTAATTTAAGAATAGGATTAATTAATCAAAACAAATTATCATTATCTTAAGAATTCAGATAATGTAGATTATGATTCTAAGTATGATTATTATTATTATAAGGATGCAGAGTATGATTTAATAATATGAAGTTATTATTGATAGAATATAAAAAGAAGCATTTAAAATACATTTACCTAATTATATTTAAGTAAAGATGTAGAATTATAATGACTTTTATGATGTAGATTCTAAACTTATAAATCCTTATTTTAGTTCGAAATTGTATGAATCTTGTTAACAATTAAAATTCTAAAACAAAAAATTAGTTAAAAATTCTCAATAGATATCTATATATGAAAATTATTAAACTTCCATTTATGATGAATCTTATTAAAAAAATGACAATAAAATATAGCCACAAAAAAATATATCAAATTTATCAAAACCATAAGTTTTAGAATAAAATATATAATCATCTAATGTTATAAAAAATGAATATATTTTATATAATGATCATGAAGATGATATTGCATAAATAAAATAAACTCATAAATCAAAATCAGATCGAAACAAATGTATTAAACATAAATATAGAATTAAAAAGCCATATGAATTTTAATAAAATACTTAAGTTAATTTATCAGATCATAGATTTGTTGATTATATGCTTAGTCTTGAAGATGTTTATGATTGTAATTTAGAATAATTTAAAGTTAATTTGACAATTGAATTTGAATAAAGTAATTGTTTAAATCTAGATGAATATGAATTTGTAGATACTGACGAAGAAAAAGTATACACAACTTAAATTTAATGGAATGATTATTATTTACTAAAAAATTAATGAATTTAATTGATTCTTTATCGAATGAATTCCAACAACTTTTAAGTGATTAAAAGAAAAACCAAGTTTTGAAACCTCTTATTTAAGGAATAATAGATGATATCAAGAAGCACAAGTCTTAATAAAATTTACCTATTTAAGAAATAATAAAAATTCTTGTTAGACTTCCTGAAAGCAAAACCAATCAAACATCTGGAATTGCTCTTAATATTATATTAAAACTATTCAATACTCCTATATTACAGGAAGTAAATTAAATTCTATTTTAGGCAGACCTTCATCCCTTATTACATTCTCTCTATTTGTTTAAAGATGAAATAATTGAAAATGTTCAATTAAAATTAGTGTAATGTAGTGTACATTTAATTCATAAAGAAATAGTAAATATCAATAATCCTGAGTGCATAGAAAAAGTAATAATTAATCTTAATGTAGTTAATTTGCATATTCTTTACATTAGTAATTTCAAAAAATCCAATTATTCAAACTACTTCAATGACAGGTCTCATGAAAATACTAGATTTTTTATATGCATAATACAGTGAAAAACCTCATAGAAATGGAGTTCTGATATTTTTACAACTTATTTAAGGAATGAAAGGATAAAAGGTACCATTTGTTGTCTAACATTAATATTCTAAAGGAATATGCAGAGATATGATATTTTAAATAGTCTAAAATTTGGGTCCTTTTTTAAATAAAGATGAATAGCTAAGTAAATTAATAGAAGAAATTTCTGCCATTATTTATGAAGAAATGAGTTTGGATTCTGCAGATGTTTAATTCAGTATTTTCGTATATAATCATAGATGCAAGAAGAATTAGAGATTCATTTAGAATGATAGTAAGTTTACAAAGAGACATATCATTACTTAAACATATTAGTCTACTATTCACAAGATCTCCATCATATGGTTATGTTAGATATTGGATCTTAGAAGGAATTCTAACTTTACTATAAGATCCTAAATTAGTTATGCTACTTTATTAAGGACCTTTATAGGAAGAATAATAATAATAATAATCTACTTTTTTATAGCATTTAGTTTTTATTATCAAATTATCTACTGAATAAGAACCTTAATATACAATAAATTAGTCGAATTAATAATAAACTTATGCAAAGTAAAAGAAATTATACGAATAGAACATATTAAATTTAACAGAAATTCCTATATATAATAAATAATAATTTTCTTAAAAATCAAGTATTATATTAAATTATATTAATAGTTGAATGTATCTCTCATTTTACTGATTCAATTTTATAAATTGCATATGAAAAATAAATTGGTTTATTTAGTTTGAATTACAAATTATCTCAATCAAAGATATTAATTGAAGATAATTGTAAAGAAGTAAATTAAATAATTGAGACTACATAATAATTAACTTTAAAAACAATTTAAAATCTAATGATAAATTTAAATGATGAAATCTAGTATTAAAGTATTTTAAATTCAATATAAACTTGGATTAATTTATCTGGTTCTTTAGGTTAAAATAAAACTAGAGATGCTTTTATAAAATATTTAAGTAGTCTTTGTGTTGCCAAATAAAATACAACTCTAACAAAAAATTAATTGTAAAGTGCAAAAACCTTATTCAATATAGCATAATTAGGAAGTAATATAATTAATTAAATTTTTAGATTTATTAGATATTAAATCATGGTATATTATAATGAAGGCTATGTAATAATTTGAAGCACTTCTTTAAAAATCTTAAACTCAAAATGCTATATAATAAGAGTCTCATCCTGAAATATATTAATAAGAAATATCATTATTAAATAATATCTTAGATGGTTTATTTTCATCAAGTAATGTATATGAAGATGCCAATTTATTACATATGATTGAAGCTATAAATTAAGTAACTTTGAGTCTAATGGAATAATTTAATAATGTTTAATCTTTAGTTGATTCTAAATCTATTTAATTTGGATTATAAAAGATTCATTAAATAACAAAGTAAAATTGGTTCAGAATTAACAAATTTTGGGATTTTATTACTGCACATTTTTTATGCATAGCAAATTATAAACATAAAGCATTTAGAGAATCTGCATTAGAGATCTTTTCATATATAGTTCAATAAGGATTTATTTATTTTTTAAAACCAGATTAAAGTATTTGTTGGGAAGGTGATAGCTGGTAATCTCATTTATTAAGTCCTATTCAATAAATGATTAATATTCCATATGCAGATGTCAAAGAAACTTTATTGAATATAATTTTTAAATTAATTTAAAATAATGGACATGAATTGAATATTCTAGGATTTAATACTATTATTGAAATATTATTAATTAGTTGTGATGAAACAGAACCTACAGGATATGTAAATATTGGATTTCATATTTTGGAATTATTAATAGGGTAATTTATGCATTTATTGGATCCTAAGACAACTAGAAGATTATTACCATTAATAAAATAATTTAGATAAAGAACAACAGAATAAAATATTAGTTATGTTTCAGTTGGTTTAATTTGGTAATTAGCAGATAATTTAAGTAAGATTTGCACAAATTAGACATCACAAACTGAAGTAGAGGAATTATGGACTGTTGTTTTATAGAGTTTAAAAGATTTATCATTAGACAATGCTCCAGATGTTAGATAATCAGCTTTACATATTATAATTTAAATAATATTAATTAATTGTGGATCATTTAGAATTAATTTTTAAATTGATTTACTAAAAAATTTAATATTTAAGATTTTAGATGATTTGATAGGAAGAGTTGCCTAATTATAATAATTATAAGTAATTTTTCATATGAAAGTCCCTAAATATTTAAAAGAAGAAGATTATCCAAAATTTACTAAATTTTCTGAAAAAGATTTATAAACTACAATTAAACCTTAAAATGAAATTATGGTAGCATGGGAAGATACTTTAAAGATTATGATTTAAAATTTAACAAAATTTTTAAAAAAGATTGGACAATAAGAAGATTAAGAATTTAAATAACATGCTTAATAATTATATAATGAAACATTTATTAGATTAATAATATCATTTAAAATTAACAATTTAGATTTAAGATGGGAAATTATTCGTTTAATAAAAGAAAATACAGAAATTATGATAGAAAAAAATTTGGTTGAATAATTTGATTGGGCTAAGGAATTTATTCTCTGTATTTAAGAGTTTATAGGATAAAAGATTTAAGATAATAGAGATGTTAAAACATTAATTAATAAAATTTTACCTGAAGTATGTGAATTATATGTATTATTTCTAAAAGCTCATAATAAAAATTAAAATTCATTTTCAGAAGAATTAGTAGATGATTTATATGAAAGTTACTAAGCAATTGTTGATTTGCCTATAAACATAGAAAATATATCAAATATTAAAATATGGATGGATGAAAAATAATTACATGATTTTGCAGAAGACTTTTATGTACATCTTAGTAATTAAAAGGATAAATCTAAATTTTATTCTTTTCTCTTATTAAATATGAAAAAGGAAGGAGGAATGACAAAATTATAGGATTTAGTAATTCTTAAGTATACATAATTATTAAATAAATATATAACAGACAAATAATTAACAGATCCTGAACTTATTAAATAATATATTGATATTTGTCTACTTTAGCTTTCAATTAGATAAAATTAATAAAAAGTAAATAATGTTAAAAATTATAATAAAACTAATAAACCTTTATGGGTTTAAGTTCTACCATTAATAATAGAAACTATTTAAATTTGTTAAAAAAATGAATATGTTTAACTTTTATCTGAATAACTCAATTTTACATAGTAATGGGATAAAATAATAAGTATTGATGGATTAAAGAGTTGTATTGATGTGGAATTATAAATTTGTGAATGGCTTCTTTCATAAGATATTTTGGATCGAGAAATTATCAATTATTGGGAATTACTATCTAGGAATATCAATTTATATTAATTAGAAGACTTGTTTTATGAAACTAGATAAAAGTTGATGAATATAATATTTAAGAAACCTAAAAACTTAATAACTTTAAATTAAATTTGTTAATCCTTAGTTACTTAATTTATGAAGGATGAATATATGTCAGGATCTATGCCATTAAGTAGAAAACGAGTTTAAGAAATTATTTAATTGTTATTGGAATTATAATAATTAAAAGATTTGAACTTAGAACCACATCCATTACTTTAGGTCTTTGAATGTTTAGTGGAATTAATAACAACAAGAGAAATTGATATTAAGTAACCTTTATAAAATTTGTTTAAATCTGTAGCATTAAAGATTAGATCGCATAAATGAGTTAAATATTACAATATACATTCATAAATCAATGATCCAATTTTCACTATGATATAATTATTATGATAAAGTGAAATATTATTTCATAAATTTATTTCTACGATTTATAAGTAATTTCTTAATGTCTTATAAGGAATATTATTTTTGAAAGTCGTAAATCATCTGAAATTAACGATAACTATTAATATAATAAAAATAATTTGTAATTTCCTTAAAAATTTTACTATTAATTTATCTGATTTTTCAATATTTCTAAAACATCTTGAGTCTTCTTTTAAACTAAATCTTTTAAATAATAACTTAATATACAAATAAAATACTTTTCAACTAATATATATACTTCTATTTTTTAAAAATATAAAACTTTATTTATACATATTATTTATATATAGTATTCAAACTAATTAAATATATAATAAAGATCATTAGTTGGAAGTTTAGAATGACTTGAAACATTATATTCACATATTTTTATCAAAATAAATTTTAAACAAATTAAGAATTCTTATTTTCATTTATTTAGCAATTTTTACAATGAGAAAAGATAAATATCAGTACCTTAAGAGTTTTGAATAAATATTTTAAATCATAGAAACAACAATAGAAAATTGTTATTATCTAACAATAAATATACATATTATATTTTATATATTATTTTTGTTGTTAAAAAGAACTTTTGCAATAATGAATATTTTTATTTAATTAAATCACTTAAGATAAGTATATTGAAAATAAGTAATAGATATATTAGTTATTTAATATTTAAGCTTAAAATTTTAGTATATAAAAATTTTTTTTCATTATATATATTACTATTATATATATATATATATTTTATTGAACCATTATTATTATATTATACTATGTTATTATATTATATTTTAAAAAATATTGCAAAAATTTAAATTGAGTTTTTCTAATCTTATTTAATTAATAAATACATATTTTAGATAAAATATCCTAAGGTCCACGAAAAAAAGGTTTTTAAATTTTTGATATTTCGAAAAGACATAATATTATTTCATACCATTATAATAATAAAATGTCATATCATAATAATTAATCATACAAATCATATCAATTTCAATAATATGTTTTGTAAGAAAAATCATTTCATTTTAAAATAGTATAGTTATTATTTAAACATCTTAAATTCTGTTTATTGATGTAGATCTATGAATAAATTTGAAAATTAGATATTATTTAGTTATGACTGACAGATTTTTTCTTATTTTAAAAAACAAATAAGTACAATTTTATGGACTTTAGAATTTTAGTCTCTCAGAATTGCTTTTAAAATTTCGATTAATTAATAAGGTTTAGAATAAAAAATTGTAATAATTTTCAGAGGATTGTTTTAATTATTCTAGAATCGGAGTTAAGTAAATAGTTTTTTAGTATTGTATTAGAAAATTATGTTTAGAAAATAAATCTGTAGACAAGTATAAAGAAAGAATGAAAATAAAGCCATATTTATCTTTAAAAGTTTATGAGATAACTAATAACAGTTTGAAATAATATTTTTAAGGTCAGTCAATTGAATATGTTTTTATCAAATAAATTATACTATATATCAGTTTTTACAATCAGGACACACATATTTATTAAGTTTATCTGCTTAGTCTTGTGTTAGGCCCACACATTTTAAATGACACCATTTTTAACAAACATCACAAAATACATACCTAATTTAGTATAAGTTGATACTTTAAATCTGGATTGGCGGGTTTATGACATATACAAACTTATTTCCATTATTCAATAGATGGATGTAATTTTCTGTCTATAAATGATGCTCTAGTGAAATAAATATTATCATTCAACTCTTCAATTTAATCATATTCTTCATAACTTAGTATAATAGCTAATCCCACTATGCTTTCTATTTCAATATAGTCAAATTCATTAGTTTTGAAAACTTCATTTTCTGAAATACAATCCATTTATTCTTTAGGTAAACCATAAAGTTCATTTTTCCTATAAAACCATTGCACTTTAATTAAAGGTATACAATTATCTTCATCATCATAGAGTTTAACTATTTTAATAAGTTTAGCCACATATTCTGATCGATTGTCACCTTTGATGCATAAATTTTATCCAACATGATAGATCTAATCCTCATACTTTAACTTTTTATAATTCGTTCTAGAATAGTAATATAATCTAACCTTGACTTATTCTAATTTTATAAAATCCTCACCACTTATTTAAAATCTTTTCTTCTAAGTAAATTTTGGATGCTGCATTATCTCTTTAAAGGAATGCAATCTTCTTTAAGAGGGGAGGTAGAAGAAATTCTTTGTTCCTATGATACTGACATATTATATCAATTTGATATTTAAAATAAAATTAATCAAATTTTTAGTTGCTACTAAATCTTTATATACCAGGGTTATTATCATAATACGACTGATGATCTTAGTATAGTTTATATATATATGTGATTTTCATAATAGGATTGTGTAAATATAAAAATATTTTTAATAAAATGATTTTTTTTTTTTAAATAATCGTTTTCAATAAATTACAATTGTGAACAAAAAAAATTTTACAGTCATTATTACAATGTATTAATGATGTAAATCTGATTTATAAATGGATATTCAGGCTTCATAGCAAGAAGTAAGATTATATAATCTAATTTAGCATTATTCATTCTATATTTGAATATTACATATTAAATGATTAAATAATTAATATTTAATATTTATTATAATTAATAGTATTAATGAAATTAGAAAAGAAATTTATAGTGCAATCATTTTTTTTTCTGAGGTATTTTAAACCAATCAAAAGAAAAATCAGAAACAAAATTACATTAAAATATCAACTTAAAATAAATTAAAGAATATATTTTCAAATTTTTTTTGTATCTTGCACTTTTAAACTGCAGAAATGATTAGATTACTTACAATAATAATATATTTTTTTAACTTATTTTTTAGGACCAAAAATTTACAGAAAAGTAAAATTTATGTGATTATTACATATTTATATAATTAATAAAATAACAAATTGTTTAAAAATACATTAAGGATATAAAATATATTTTATTGAATAAATTTTAGACATTTAAGTATAATGTTAATTTTATGTTAATCTAAATAGACCTTCTTCTTTTTTATTATTATACAAGAATTTGATACAATATTTAGAATTAAAATTTATTAAAATAAAATAATTAACAGAATGGGTTAAGCAAATTCATAAAATTTACAATAATCAAAAATGGATGTTCCTAAGATCAGTTAGCTATAATTTTGGAAGTAATCTACAGATATTCGATATGGAGAAATTAGAATATTCAAGACTTAGGATCAACATGCTGTAGCTGTTAAAGATCATATTTTTTAAGATGATGAATAATGGAATTAATTCAAAATAATATAAGAAAAATAAATGGGAAACGTAATTTTTCATAATAAATTAAATATAGAAATAGAGCACTCCTTTCTTAATTTAAATGATTGATTTATAACATGTTACAGAAAAGGAACTCTGCACTTAATTAACTTAAGCTCATAGTGTCTATGAATATTTTGATGAATATTTAGAAAGAGTTATAAATGAATTAGCTGAAACTAAATAATATTTTGAAGAAATTGAAATAGTTGCTATGTTACATTGTACAGTAATAAACTGAAATCTAAAATTAGTTAATGGCATTATAAAGATTAAATGATCAATAGAAATAACATGGTGACATTAGACCTTTGACTATAAGTATGACATCTTTTGCAAAAAGGAGTTAATTTCGTTAGAATCATCCATTTCCAGTTTTTAAATTAACTGACATCTAAGAAATGACAGAAATGAATTCTTATAGAAGATGCATAGCTAAATAATAAGGTTAGTATAATTTAAGTCCTGAATAATTATCTTCACTTAAACAGAAAGTATTAAGACCAAATATAGATTAAAATAAATCAGATGTATTTTGTATTGGATTAACAGCATTATAAATGGCAACTTTAAGTTTTATTTAGGACATTTATGATATTCAATCCTATACTTTTAATATGGAAAAATTAGATGATCATCTATTTTTTCTTAAATCTTAATATAGTTCTGATTTATATGAAATAGTTGAATCTTTACTTGTTATGGCTCCTGATAATAGGCCTAATCCGAAACAAGCTCATGAATTATTACATAGATATAGATTTTAATTGGAAGATTATTTTAGAGTAATAATATAAAATTTACATATATTAGTTCTCTACTATTTCTGAATTCATACCAAATTATTCAATTGATTTTAGAGAATAGAGTAATGGATATGGTATTTAAAAATAAAGAGTTGTTGATCAATAATTACATGCATCATAAAATTAAGATCCAAATAATTTATATCATTAAGTTGAGGATCTCGATTAAAGAGCTAAAATAGCTTTAAAAAGAAGTTAGGATGCTTAAATAAGATTCTAAAAATCTCCTACAAAAAAAATGAAAGTTCCTCTTCCTAATTGGGAACCAACTAAATGTTTACAATAATACTAGAATTTATAACCAATTACTTTATAAGAAATTCTACCTTTATAAAATAAATAAATGAATATTTAGAATGATTAAATTATTATATAGGATCCTCCTTCTAATAGACAATCTTTCTTTAAAAAATTAACTAATCCCTAATAATATTAATAACAGAATTACAATGAACATGAATAAATCATCCATAATGATGATGAATATGCTTATAATCATTAAGAAATTGATGAATAACCAAAATAAAGTTTAGTTGAATAAGTTGAATTAACAAATTCCAATTTAAAAACTTTATAATAAAAACCTATTACAAATTAATATGATAATAACTAATTTTAATAATAATCATTATTTCAATCAATTAACACTGATTAAAAGAAGTTTCCTTAATAATAATAAATACAATAACAAAGTTATTCTTAATATTAATAATAATCATATCAATATTCAAATCAAGTTTAATCAAAACAATTATAAAATATTGAATAGTAATCATAAGCTAGATCATCAACTTATAATTATCCATCAAATTAAATTAATGAAAGCATGAATGATCATCAAAGATCTCCTTATGCTTTATAATAAAGATAGTCTTTAGCATTATCTTAAGATAAAATGATAACATAATAATTAACAGGATAATAAGTTGAGCAAACTCTTTAAAATCTTTAAAATAGATAATCTATTCGTCAAGATTCATTTGGAGTAGGATCTTAAAGACCATAATAACCATTAGTAGTTCCAAAATCTCCAGAAATAGAACCTAAAAATATTTTCCCTTAATTTGAATAAGAAAAATAACCTTAATAGAATTAAAGATCTCCAATTTAACCACTTGAAAGGATTGATGATGATGAATAAGAGCCTAATTATAATCCACATTTAACAGAATCAAATGACTCTTAATAAGCAATATCAATATAGAGTAAACCATAAAGTATGAGGGGCACAATGGTAGGTAGTTAAAATCAATTAAAGGTTCCTCCCTCTACTGTATCTAGATAATAACGTCCAACAATATAAAAATAGTCAACTACTTCATAGAAAAATATTTATAATCTTTCATAAAAGAAAAGCAGTAAAATAATAAAAAAATGAACTTTAATTATATATAATATTAATTTATTTTCATCAAATTATTTTAGGAAACTAACTTTGAGATTAAATAATAATTAATTGTTACTGTTTTTTTTTTAATTTATTAGGTATATTTAACAATACTCAAAATAAAAATTAAATAGTAATAATATATTCTATGTTTCTAAATTAAAACTTAAGTTTCATTTATTTTATTTTTTTTCTTCTAAATAAAAAATAAAATTATAAAATGGATAAATTATATAGTTTTAAGGCTAAGACATAAGTTGGTCACATTAAATAAGTCATTAATTAAGAATAGAAACTATAATTTTATAGTGAAGAAGAAGGTGAAAGTACTAACTCTTAGGATAATACACCAAAAACAATTGTAAAAACAAAAGTGAAATCACCAATTTAATAAAATGGATATTAGACAGATGATTCAGATTCTGGAACACCAAAAAACCAAAAACCAAGAAGTAAATAACCATAAGGTAGCTTTATTTTGTATTTAATTAGCTACTAAAATGTCAAGATTTAGCAATTTAGTAAATACAAAAAAAATTGATGGAGATGTTGAGATTGAACCTGAATTCAGTGATAATGAAAAGAAGTAATAGCCTGTTTAAATATAATAATAAGAAGGAAATTATAATATTGAAGAATAAGCTTAAAGAATTTAATAAAAACTAAATCAACAACCATAAAACCCAAAGTTAAATAAAACTAAGTATTAGATTAACTATATAATAGACAAGCTGTCTCGATGTAAAATTTAAATGCTAATTCTGATAATGAGTAAAGTAAGAAGAATTCATAAAATAATGGAAAAGATAAATTAAGCAATCATCCTTTCAGACATTTAATCTTTGGTCCAAATATTAATGAATAAACATTCAAAAAACATTTAATTCTAACTCAAAGAGGTTTAATTTATGCAAGAAAATGTTTGAAAGGCCCTTCTGATAAATTTATATAATCTAAGAAGGTTTAACTTTCTGAAGCTTATCCAAAGAAAGATCGAGCTCTAATACTAGATTTAGATGAAACCTTGATTCATTCATGCACTCAAAGAGAAAATCCTTAAGTTTATGTTACTGCTGTTGGAGATTTTGGTGAAGAAGCCAAAGTAAATTAATTAAATAATTTAGATTGGGATTAATATTCGACCTTATACTTCGCTGTTTCTTTAATAACTATCTCAATATTATACAATATATATTTACACTGCTTCTTCTTAAGCATATGCTCAAGCTATTATTAATTATTTAGATCCAACTAAATAGTATATATCAGGAATTATGACAAGAAATAATTGTATGGAAACCAAAAATGGATTCTTTATTAAAGATCTTAGATTAATAAGTAATAAAGAATTAAAGGACATGCTTATTGTAGATAATTTAGCTCATTCTTTTGGATTTTAAATAGAAAACGGTATTCCTATTCTTGAATGGCATAATGATTAAAATGATCAAGAATTAAAATATTTAATAGATTATTTGATAGAAGCAATTCATTTTCCAGATCTTAGAGAATATAATGTAAAAAAATTAAGATTAGATGATTTAATAGAATTTCATATTGAAGAATGAAGTATTTTTATGTTTGAATCATTTAATTTTATTTAGTGTATTCAAAAAAAGGTTTCATCTAATAAAATAAAGTATTTTTTATTATAGAATAAAATAAATTTATAATTAAATAAAAATGTTATTTTTATTACTCATTTTGTAAATCAATGCAATAGAATTCAATTAATCACTAGGAAAAAGAGAGATTACTTGTTTTGGTGATAGTCTTACTGAAGGACTAACAGTAATAGGAGAAATAAGTAGTACAATAAAAGACTTTAGTATAAAAATATATGTATGATTTTGAATCTATTCTAAGAATCCAATGAGATTTAAAAAAGAAGGGTATTTACATTAAAGTTAAAATGAATTAATACAAAAATTTAAATTTAAAGTGAAATATAACCACAATATTCAAATATGTATATAAAATTTAAGCACGTCAACTATTTTATATTCATTAAAATACTATTAAGATGATGAAGAATAATCTTATAAAATTGATACTTAATTACCTATGACATAATTACAACCAATTGAAAATCTTATGGCTTAAATGAAAATCTCTTATGATATCATAAAGGTAATTAAATGATACAAAAATAGGGAATGTTTTCAAATTTAGCAGAAAGATAAGAACAAAGACTTTAATAATTCTAGTAATTGGGATACAGAATAGCAATATCATCAGTAATCTTGCTTCTAGTAACAGTCTTAATAACTATATTTGGAACATATAGATATAAAAAAGTTATGAAAAGTAAAAAAATGATTTGAATTGTCTTCTTAATTAATTTCTAATTTATATGATTATATAGATAATAATAATTTATTATTGAAAAAGAATTTAACAAATATTTATATTAAATTTATAATTATGGAAATCATAGAGGAAGATACTTGGGTATGTTTAGAAGATAATAGAAATGAATCAAAAATTGTTAAAGTTAGTGAGAAAAAGTATTTAACTAATTTAAAATATTAGAATGGTAGGTTGGAGAAAACATAAATTTGATATTGGTGTTATTCTTCATAAATAGTATAATACATTTTGGAAAATAGATAAGTCAAATACTGTTGTAGAAATAACATCAGATTAATTTTATGATAATGCTGATTTAGATAATTAAATTGATGATGCAAATATTGAAATTACAAAAACAAATAAAGATCTATTTGATTTTAATGATTCTTAAAAATTAACTTAAGAAGAGATAATTTAATTAAAATAATAAAAAGAAGGTGAAGAAATTGTTGATGAAGTAATTTAAAATAGTAAGACTTTTGAATAAAAAACTGAATTTTCTAAAGCAAAATATTTAAAGAGAAAGAAGGAAAAATATGTTTGCTGTTTTATGGTTTTAAAAACAACAATTGATAATGTTCATAAGACTTAATTTTTAGAATCTCCATAAAAATTAAAGTAAAACTTATATATTAAATAAAATAGTTTTATGAGAATAGATAGTTTAGCTTTCTTTATGTAATTATCAAGTATTACTTAAAATTCAAATATCCTTATGTTTGATAATGCTAATGTATAATAATCTCTTATTATTTAGGGTGTTGTAGTTTCAGCAGTTGCAGAAAGATTAGATGGTGAAGGTTCTATTTCAACTGTATTTTGGAATCATAGTAAATCTAATCTTAGAGATTATTTACCAATATAATAAATGAATTTTAATGAAGAAATATTAAAAAGTATTAAACTAATTAAAAATTTGGAAGATATTGAAAAAAACCAAAATAAATATACTCAGTATAATTTATATATATAATAGTCTTTTAATAGCTGGAGAATTTAAATTTACAGAAATTATTGAAAAATATTTGAATTTAATAGCAGTAGGAGGAATAATTGTTATATTCAGTACATATTTGGAAAAATTACATGAAGTAGCTGAATAACTTTTATCTTCTGGTCTATGCAGCAAAATTGATGTTTTAGATAGTTTTCTTAGATATCATTAAGTTTTGGAAAATCGAACTCATCCAAAAGTTGAAATGAATGCATTTGGAGGCTATTTATTACAAACATACAAATTAAAATGAGTACAAATATTACATATTATTAAATCATCATTTTTATTTATGGTGGGTCCAGAAGAAGCCTTGAAAACATAAGAATATAAAGCTTATCGTTGGCGTTGGTTAGTCTTATTCGCATTTTGCACATTTACGTACTTCTTACATCCATAATTAGCTTTTCTAATGCACTTGGATTTGTCTAATATTCTCCAATTCTTAGTCTAGCAGCTGAATATTATGATGTTACTGACTAAGACATAGTTTGGTTTAGCAATTGCTACTATATTACATATGTAGTATTTTGTCCATTTACTATACGTCCTCTAGAGAAAAGATTAGACTTGTCCTTATTTCTTGCTGCTTTTGTAACAGCCTTAGGTATTAAGTACTTAAAAATCATTTAGGTTAATGGTTTATCTACATAGCATAATAAACATATTCTTTTGCTTTAGTAGGGTTTATTTTAATAGGGATGGGTTAGATATTTATTTTAGCAGCACCTGCATGTATATTTATTAAATAAATATAATAGATATATCTGATAGATGGTTTCCAATGCATGAAAGAACTGTATCTACAAGTTTAGGTAGTTTTTTCAATTTAGTTGGATTAAATTTTTCTATTGTTTATGCTTCTATCACATTTTAAAATGTTTCTGATCATGATGAAATAGTAGATTAAATAGATTTCATGAATTTATTATTTGCTATATTTACTACATTAGCCTTTTTATTTTGTATAACAATGATAAGAAATAAACCAGCAACACCTCCATCAATATCAGCAGTAATAATAATAAATTATTATAGGCATCTGAAAAAATGTTAATATTGCCATCTTTTAAAAGGGCATTTAGAAGTTTAGAATCAATAATGGATTTATTAACATTCTCAATGTTTATAGGTGTATCTTGGGCATATATGGTTGTAATTGCAATTCTCTTGGCTCCATTTAATTATACAACAGAATAAATTGGTTATGTGAGTATTGTGTATGCAGCAACTGGAGCAATAGGTGGAACTTTGGCTAGTATTTATGTAGATTATTAAATAAAAAATAATACAAAACCTCATTATGATTATTTAATAAAAGGATTTTTGACAATAGGAGTAGCTGGTATATTAATAAAAGCATTAATCATTAATTATGTTAATGATACAGTAATTGTTGTATTATCTGGAATAATTGGATTTGGATTAAATTCATTTCTTCCATTAGCTTTACAATGTTATATAGAAAAATTATTTCCTTCATTTGAGTTAGTATTAACAACAGCAATAATGCAAATGTCTAATGTATAATATTCATTAATTATAAAGTTATTTGGTTTTATTTTAAATTACATTTTGATTTTAGAGGTATTCCTTGATGTTGGATTATGGGTTATTTTAATAGCCATGGGACCATTTTATCTATATTTAATATTTGGATATAAAACAAAGTTCTTACGTTTAGAAATGGAATAATAATCAGCAGCTGCTTGATTTTTGATATTTGTTTTTCTTAACAATTGTTATCTTAATTATTTATATATATATATTATCATAAAAATAATCATATAATTAATGTTGGTTTATAATTCAAGTTTCGATGAGTTTATGTTAAAAGCTAAACATGATTCAAATGAGGTTCAAATTCATTTATTATTTAAAGAAATAAGAATATAAAGTATATACATAAAGGTGGTTTGTATTATTGGCATTTTGTGCATTTACGTAATGAATCAAATTTAATTTTCAGATTTTGCAATGCCTTGGGTTTTGTGTAATATACTCCAATTTTAAAAATGGCAGCCTCTTATTATGATGTAGATGAGGATGGTGTTGCATGGTTTAGCATTTGTTATTATATTACTTATTTTTTACTTGCACCATTCAGTATTAAACCATTGGATATCAGACTTGATTATTCATTATTTTTTGCTGCATTTTTAACTTCATTAGGTAATCATATAGTAAATATTAAAGGTTAATGGACAATATATTTTGCTCATTAAAATTATGCAATAGCAATGATTGGTTTCGTTTTGATAGGAATAGGTTAAATATTCATTTTAGCTGCTCCAGCATGTAATAATCTTATTATTTAATGAAATAGATATTTCAGATAGATGGTTTCCGGTTCATGAAAGAACTGTATCCACTTGTTTAGGAAGTTTCTTAAATTTATTAGGATTAAATTTTTCTATTTTTTATTCATCTATAACTTTTGAAGAACTTTCAGGATAATTAGATAATATTATAAAGGAAATAGATTTTATGAATCTAATCTATTCTATAATGAATACTGTTGCATTCGTAATGTGTTTATTAATGATCTAAAATAAACCACCTTCTCCTCCTTCTTTTTCAGCTGTAATTATTTATGTAAATTATTTTGGCTTCAGAAAAAATGTTAATAATGAAGTCATTCAAAAGAGCTTTTAGGAATCTTGAATCTATTTTGGATTTATTTTCATTGTCAATGTTTATTGGAGCTGCATGGGCCTATATGGTTGTTGTTGCTATTCTATTAGAACCATTTGGTTATACTCAAAAATAAATAGGATATGTGAGTATCGTTTATTGTGCTACAGGTACCATAGGCGGAACTATGGCAAGCTTATTTATTGATTATCAATTAAAAATGAACATCAAGCCTCATTATGATATACTCAATAAAGCATTTATGACAATTGGAATGGTAGGAATTCTAATCAAAGTCTTACTAATTGATATAATTAATGAAACTTGGATAATAATATTCTCAGGAGCTATTGGTTTTGGTTTGAATTCATTTTTGCCATTAGCTATTTAATGTTATGTTGAGAAAATGTTTCCTTGTTTTGAATTAGTCTTAACTACTGTTATGATGTAAGTTTCAAATGTACTATTTATTTTGATTCTTAGCTTCTTGGCTTTATTTTGAATTACATTCTTTTTCTAGAAGTATTTCATGATTGCGGCCTATGGGTAATTCTAATAATACTTGGTCCATTTTATCTTTACATAATTTTCTTTTTCAAGACTAAATTTAGAAGATTTGAATCTGAACAAGCTTAACCATCTTGAAACATTATCAAAAAAGCAAATTAAATATATATATATATATTCTTATAATTTATAAATATTAAACATTCTAATTTCAAACTTAAAATAAACAAAAATATAACATTATATATAAGATCTTATGATTAATAATAAATAATCTAATTGATTCTATTATTTAATTCATTTTTAATCAGTTAATTTTAATGAATATTTGGTTAAAAGTATATATTTAATAAGTATAAAGAAGTCAAATTTAAAAATTAAACGTTAAAAACACAAGTGATTAAAACAATATTGAAAAAAAAACTCAGAGCATTTACAATTGTTGTATAATATTAACTAAATCCTCCTTTTCTTTGATATGTCTATAAATTTCATTCTGATATTGCTATAACAATGAATTTGTCCTATGTACTATTTCTTATAACTAAATAATAGTTTATCTATCCTTTTCTCTGTTTGACAATAATTATGTAGTTTCATTTTGTGATTTCCTTTTAATTGTTTCTTTGTTTGCACTCTTTAATCTAGGTTTTATGCTACTTGTCATTGTTGAGTATTATGATAAAGTTGCTTTTTTAAAAAAGTTGCTCTAGATATTTGCTTATTAATTGGGAGTATAAGCTGTACTTAAGTCTTTTAAGTATTATTAAGAAAAACTTTCATGTATAAGCATCTATGAGTAAACTTTAGGTTGAAGTACTTTATTATGTGGACCCACCTTAAGTAATTACTATAAACCATGCACTACAATTGATCAAAGTGTTATACTTTAAATTTTATTAGATAGTTGCTTTTAAGATTATTGATTTTTTCCAGCACTTTCAATCTATGAACTTGTTAATCTTCTATGAAAATTTAATGATTTTTATTTTTCTGGTTCAGGACTAATAGTTTCTTTGCATATCTAATCTTTCATAAATTATGGGATATCTATTTTAGTATTCATAAAAATAAACAATTTAATTAATGAAAAAGGGAGCACCAAAATATTAAAACAAAATTGCATTCAAAATGAGATTTCATGACCATTACACAGAGAAGGTTTAGAATGCCTCTTTAGATAGGTATACTTATAACATTAAATTAGATTATGTGAATTGTGTTTAGCTTAGATTGAATGGAAAATAAAATATGGCAAATATAAGACTCCTCATGATTTATCAAGATGTTATAAATGTGAAAAGAAGAATATCTTTAAGGCATACAGAAGATTATGTGATGCATGTTCTGATGAATTAAAACAATGTTCAAAATGCACAGAACCTATTGAAATAAATGATGATAGTTCAAGTGGTGAAGAAATGGATGAAACACTTAAATGTTTAAGAGAGAGATCAAAAAGAACTGTTCTTAGAAAAATTGAAAAAGGTAAAAATTCTTTTAATATTTAAAGGTGAAATAACATGGGATAAACATAATAAAAAATTTATTGATTGTGAAACTGGAGAATAGATGATTGTTCAATACAAAAAAGATTATATAGATGAAGAAGATGAATAATTATGGGAAGATAATGATAATGATGATGATGATGATGATGATGATGATGTTGATAGTGATGATGATGATGAAAATAGTGATGAAAGTGATGAAGATAATAATACAAAACAAAATAAAAAAAAGGTTTAATTCCAAAAACAATAGAAAGGTTAAAAATAAAAAACTGAATAAACAAAAAAATCAAAAGCTAAAAAAGTTGAATCTAGTGATGATGAGTCTTTTAGTGATGAATCAGATGAAGAAAATTAATTCAATTAAATTTAAAAAATAAATAAAAAAGACCCTTCTATTTATTCAGATGGATCAAATGAAGAAGAAAGAATCAATAGAAGAGAGAAAAATTTTAGATTTTATTTTGATTAAAAAAATCAATTAAATTAAAATGAATGAATTAAAGAACTTAATAATTTTTGTGCTTTATTTCATTTATTTACAATATTATTATTCTTAGTTTCTTTTTTGATTTTCAAAATTATTCATTATCCATTTTGAATGACAATGAACTTTAAGAGAAAATACATTAATTTAAATGAAAAGAATTATTTATTATCAAAATTCTTTATAGTTTGAAACAAAAATTATACAAGATACTCTATAAGATTTATCTTTTCATCAGACATTTACTTATGATTATTTTACAAAGTCCTGCCTCCTAAACTAATTTTTATATTAAACAGTACTTTATCAACTTTTATATATTTACTTCTCTTTTTTTCTACTCTGGTTAAATTAAATATTCTCTCATTCTCAAATCCATAATAAATATCTCCTTAATTTTTATGACATTTTGTATAATATCTATATACATCCTTTTTCTTTAAATAAAAACAATAATATTATTAATAAGATCTAAATTCTTCTAAACCAAATCTACTATATTTTGGAGGTATTTAAGACATTAAACCTTTTTTTTAAACTATCCTGTATCTTTCTAATACATTTTCTATGTTATACCACTAACTAAAATTATGGTATATTTATATTTTCTCAAAATCAGGTAATAATGTAAAATGAATATGAGAAAATGATCTTTTTTTCTATTTTATTGTATTAATTTATTCTAAAAGATCATTAAATCTATCAGATGCTATTTGATCTATATATTATTCTTCAATCATAATTCTTTATGTTATAGCTCCAATTGATCTTTTAGAACTTAAAGGAGAATCAATATTCATGTTTAATAAATCAAATTTTTATTTATTTTTATTATTAAAAAGAGACTTTTAAAGAGATGTCATCAATTTTGAAGGCACTTTGTCATTTTTATATAAATCTTCAAAATCAACATCATAATAATCAACAAAAAATGAATTTCTAGGTCCTTTTTAATTGATATAAGTTTGTCTTCTTGAATTAATTTATAAGAATCTTCTTTAAGATTATTGTATTTAATATTAAGAAGATCTTGCATTAAAGTCAATTCTATCCTTTCTTATATAGGAAGCCTAATATACTCTATAATATTGATGTAAAAATGATAAAAAATGAGGAGCATTACTATTATAGTTAGAATAATTACACTTAAAAATGTAATACTGGGCATTCTTTAGCAAGATGATCATCCATTTAGCAAACATAACATCTTACTTATAAAAAACTATAATCCTTTTCAAATAATATAGAATTTCTTATATTAAAATATTATTATAAATCTCTTGGATAAAGCTTTGCAATTTCTAAATATTTACTTTGACTTAAGATAAAAATGTGAGAAAATTATTTACTTTAAGCACTAGCTGATCTTACTTAATTAGTAAAGAAACTGATTTCTCCAAAATAATCATATTTAGTCTTATTATCAATTACAATATTTGTTTTCATAAAATATATACTAACTTCTCCCTTTTAAATTAAGAATAAATCATAATTAGTTGAAGGAATTTCATTAAAAATAACTTCCTCTGGTAAATATAATTTATCCTCTAAAATTGGAATTATTCCTTCTACCAAAAATTTGTATGAATGAAATTACCAAAATATATCAATATGTCCAAATAATTTACCATTTACTTATTCCAATATATCCTTACATAATTCTTATGAAAGTAAACTAGTTATATCATTTAATAAAATTTAATGACTATCCCATACATATTCTAAATATTTTCTAACCTTATTTTATAATCCATCAGGTATATTAGCTTATTTCATATATTTATTAAGAATGTTAACTTTTGATTTTCTAACATTTGTCTTCTCCTCCAAAGTGGATAATGCAAAACCAATAGAATTCATTGTAAATGCAAATCCTCCACAAGCAACTAACAATAATATAATTCCTAATCCTCTTTCTGTTATAGTTGTGGGACTTATATCTCCATATCCAACTGTTGTCATCGTTGCAATACCCCAATATAAGGAATATATATATCTTATTTACCAATCTGCATTTTCATTATCTCCAAGCCATGAATTCGATTCTTCTCTTGAAGCATAATGAAATATGCATCCTAATACATGTGCTAAAAATAAGACAAAAACAAAAAGTTTAAAAAAGGTTAGTACTATACCAATTATTCTTATATTTTAAATTACTTCATCTAATATATCAATAATCTTTTTTAATTTAGCCAATCTTAAAAGTTTTAATATATGGATAAATTTTAAAAATTTAAATAATCTTAGTAATTTTGCACTTTAAATCAGTGATTCTGATTCATCAATAATTATGTCATATGGAAATGTTGAAATTACATCAATCCAAAACCAAAATGATAAATAATTCTTTATTATTCTCTCTCTTTTCATTGATAATATACCATCTAAATAAACTCCAGTATTAAAATTTAAGAGAATATCCAAAACAAACACTCCTAAAGAGGTCATTGAGATTTCCTTACTTATTTCTATTTCAAAACTTATTTAAAATGGAATACTAATCATTTCATAAATCACAAATGCAAGACATAATAAATCCCAAATCATTTTTATTGATCCATCAGGTGTTATTATATAAGGTGGTAAAGGAGTTAAGTGTTTTCTTATTTTCTTCAATAAATTCCTAATTTACATCAAGAAATGATTTATTTTTAGACATATTACTTCAGAGTATACTTTTGCAAATTTTGAACTGAAAATTGTTAAGCTTCTTTATTCCCATTAAAATTATTTCTTTTATTTTATAAAAATTTCGATTTATTTTTATTTCTCAAATTCATCTCCTGAATCATCACTAGTAACAGCTGTGTCCTTTAAAAATTTTAATTATTTTCTATTCAACCATTCTTTTTCTCTTCTATTTTTTAATAAATATTCATTTTATTTTATTTCATTCATTAATTATTGTAAAATAATTATAATTATTTAAGTAAACTTTATAAAGTACAACTAGAAAATTAAAAATGTTCAATCTATGAATTTGAAACAATCTTATAGATAATAATATTTCTATATAAATTTTATGAGATCTTTTATAAAGTCTCTACCAATAATTATGTTTTAATAGAACCTCAAATACTTTTAGTAAGAATTGATCGTTTTAAAATAAATGTATATTTATTTAATTATATTAGTTGATTTTTTGAGAATTAAAGAATATTTATAAATTTAAATATGAATAATTCAATATCTAAATAATCTAATTATTGTCTATATATAAATTGAAGTTTTTTAATTCAATTTATATATGATAAAAACAATCAAATAATAATATTATTAATTCAAATATAAAATCTAATTATATAATGAAATAACAATAATTGCTTAAAATATATTCTCAAAAATAAGGATTTCCTTTTAGATAATCATCTATATCAGTAATTACCCAATTAAAATTTGGTACATAAGATTCTAATCTTAATTTATGATATTAAAATTAATTATTATCATAATTGCCATGAACTACTTTTCCATCCTAATCAACTGCAATTAATTTTTTGCTTGTATGAATTAAAATATTTGCAACTAAAATTTAGTTTTCATAAAGACTGAATGGATTTTTTAGATTTACAAAATAATTCCTATTTATATTATTAATATATACCTTGGTGTGATAGGGAATGCAGGAATTTAAAAAAATCGTGTATTTTCATTTTCAATTCTATTAATTTTTACACCAAAAATGCCTTTTACATCTATATTACATTTATAATCTTTTTCTTAATAAATATGATATGCTTCATTGCTACTTCTATTGAATATAAGAAAATTAATACAAATTCTTTTATAATTTTTTTGAAAAGAAACCAAATTACTATTATGGCTATTAAGTTTCTTGTTCATCTTCTTCTTCTTACTTATCTTGATTTTCTAATTCTTCCTATTCAATATATTATAACTTTAGCTGTTTTTATTCTAATAAATCCATACAATGTGAAGTAGCATGATATAATTTAGGCTCTAGAATTTATTTCAAATACTCTTTATCTTATTCTGCAATAGATTGTAATAATGATGTATAAACTTAAGATGTTTGATTCAAGAATCCTTCTCCTAATTTTTAAGTATAATATGCAGGTATTAGATTATAAAACCTTGCCAATTGAGGCTCATATAAATAATCTAATCCATGAAATGCATAAGGTAATATTCTCTACATTTAATTTAATAAATAATTATCATTATAAATATATTTGATAATTTTATTCAAGGTTATTATTATTTGATACTTAAAAGACATGTAATATGTGATAATGTGGATTCTTATAGTGTTTTAATTAGATATAATATACTTATAAATATTAAATGAAAAATTTTGATTGATAAAAGGAATATCATAAATTTAATTATATATTGAATATATAATTAAATAATTTGTACTTAGTTATTTATTTAATGTATGATTTATAAAAGATAATAAGATATTAAATTCATTATAAAAAATGAGTATTCTTAGGTCTAAATATTTTTGGATCGAATTTTACTCTTTTTTAACTTTTGGATGTTTTTTATGATTATGTGTCATCGAAATTTATTGGTAATTATTACTATTTGAGACTTATACCTCTTTTTAGTTAATTTGCTATAGGAGGGGATTTATTCTTCAAAATACTCTTTTTAGTATTAGTCTCTGAATCTTTTCTTTATGATATAGAAGATTCATCATTAAAATTCTATGCTCGTTAGGCTCTTGAATTATTACTTAAACTTCTTGCAAAATTTTCACGTCTATCATTTTAAGCTTCTGATCGCATCTTAAATAGAGATTCTTTATGCTATTGTTTTCCTTATATGATTGGTTCTTCATTATTTTAATTACTTTCTTAAAAGGATGAATTAGGAAGCATTTATTATTATACAGAATTAGGAGTAGTTGTATTAAGTGATAAATTAAGACTTGGATTAATCTTGATAGATTAGCGATTAGCACTACTACTATTAAAAGTTGCAGTTTTATGAATGCTAAAATTGATATTTGTTTCTTATAATGTAAATTCAAGTTATTCTAATGATTCTTCATTTTCTCCTAAATATTATAAAGGAGGGATTAATATATTCTATTTATGAGGTTTTTTGCCTTGTGGTTTTCTCTTAAATATCATAGGGACGCTATATTCAATTTGGGGAGTAGAGTTCCTTTCTTTCATACAAGTTTATGTTACTCCCATTATTTTTATATATTTATTATTTTTTAATCAATAGAACTTAGCTGAAGACAGAATATTTAATCACAAATTTAAACATTATTTGATTGTATTTATATAATACGATTGTTTTTGCAATTATTTTATATTAACATTATAAATATCATAATTCTTATCATTCAATATTTCTAATTAAAAAAAATGACTAATTATTCTTTGCTCTCAGAGGATGAAGCTTATCGATTTAAATGATCAATGCCATTTTTATTAATCCAATTTCCAAATATTAAACAATAAATTTTATTTGAATCTAATACATGTTAACAGTAAATAATATGAAAAAAATATTAATTAGTGAACTCCGAAAATAATATCTTCAATTTTATACAAGATATAAATTAAAAGTCTATCTTCATCATTTTATATAATTTGAAGTTGGCTAATAATTTTGGTCTCAAAGATCTTTACTTTTATACTTTTTTAGACATTTAAAAATAATATTAAATTTTCCTATTTAAACTTATTGTTAGTTTCCTTTTGAATATTCTCTCGAGTTTAATTCATTTAGCAGCATTCTCTAGTAATATTTATGTTGTATTAAAAAAATCTAATGGCACAATTCTTAAATATAAAATCAAAATAAAGATAATAAATTAAGAATTAGTATAAAATTCATTAAATCATTTAGATATCTATATTTAAATTCTATTTAATTTTTTTTTTAATCAAAAATAATATATATTATTAACTCATAATGAAACAAAATTTAAATAAGAGTATATTTTATATACTGCGTAGCTTAATTTATAATAAAAAAAATGGGCTCTCTCGGGAGTTGAACCCGACCTACTTGCACCCAAAGCAAGCGTACTACCGATATACTAGAAAGCCTCTTTATGATCATAATTTTTAGCAAACTATTTCTATAGATCAAACATAATTGTTATTATTAGTTTGATATATATTAGTACTTTAATAGTAAACAATGTCTATTATATTAAAATATATATTTTTAGTAAATAATTTAGATTTATTTTTATAAGAAATTATAAGTCTATAGTTTTAAATTCAAATACACAATGTTAACTTTCTTATTGAATTAGATACATATATAAAATATAACAATATGCCAATAATCAATCAAATTCATTTTCAATATAAAAAATAAAATGCATGTTATATTAGTCTTTAGAGACATTTTTAAAAGGTTGAGGAAAGTATAAGAAATATATTAATAACTTACAAATTCAATTAATTATATGAATTTTGTTAAAAATAATTTATGATTATAAATTTTCACAATTCTTCAAGTTTTTTGTGATCAACTAATGGATTATTTTTAATAAGTAATTGTCTTGCTTTTTCTGCATGATCATAAGTACAATTATGATCTTCAGGTAATCTATGTTTGTTGCAAAACACTATTTTGCATTTGCATTAAATGCCTGATATCCCTAGCTTTCTCTTACATACATAACATTTTGAAGGATCTTGCTGATAATTTTAAATCACTTTTATACCTGAATATTCACTTATTAATTTGATTATGCTTTATCCTCAGGTATTTATTATTGTTATTGTTGTTAGGGTTATTATTCATTAGTATTTTATGTAATAGTTCTACAATATTCAACCAACATACTTATAACATTATGAACAATAAAAATTTGTTTTTGCACTTCCAAAGAAAGTTTGGCATAATGGACATTGTTTAGTTTCTTATTTAACTTCTTAATTTTTTGACTATTCCTCTGTAGCTGCCTATTAATTATTTTGCATTTTATTTTATTTATATAATAAATTTATTATCAATATAATGATTTAAATTGAAAAAATATAATTGTCATCAATTTTATATGTTTATTAAAATAAATGATTCTGTTAACTCATTATTTATTATAGAAATACCTTTAATTTACTATTAAGAGTATGTCATGATAATTTAATAACTATATTGAATGTTTATTACTACTTAAACAATTTTTAATTATGAAAAATTGGATAGATTAAGAATTTATTTAATTATTTGTTCTAATTTTATATTCTATATTATTTATATTGTTGTACTTTAACTAAATAAAATAAATATTTATATTTGAACTTAATTATAACATTCTATGAAAATAATTAATTTTATAAAATAAATCACTTTTATGTAGTTTTAGAATCTTAATATATTTAAATATTTTCTGAAACATCTTTTTAAGAGTCAACATAATAATTGATTATTAATTAAAAATATTCATTTTATTAATTAATTCAATATTTTATCAAATTCAATAAACTTATTTTAAATCAGTTTCTTCTAGCATTGATCTTTCTTTTTCTTCTTTTACTCTAATTATTATTAGTATTCTTCTACATTAACAAAACTTTTAATAATTGGTAAACATTATTATTAGACATCAGATTGCTAATATTATTATATCTAATCAATATTTCTCTGTCTGATATTAGAACTGTTCATTTTAACATGGGACTATCTATTTCGTAACGGTGTGTAATTGATTTTTTTGATTTCTCCTAGTGATGGTTGCTCTTTTTAAGTTTTATTTATTTCTCTTGCAACATAAATACGACGAAATATCTACTTTTTTTATTAACTGGTATCATCTTGATTACTTGTAGTTCTTTATCTAACACTATTTTATTATTATTATTAATTTTAAATCTATTAGATAGTAATTTATTATTATGGATCACTAGTTTTCTTACCAAAAATTTCATTCAATTTTTATCTTAATTAAGAATAATCTTCACCTTTTATTAATTCTTTTATAGTTTTAATATCTTTGATAACACTTGTTTAAGTATATTTTGGAGAATCAAATTATAGAACTGCAGACTTAAGCATATATTCATTATTATGCAAATTCAATTTGACATCCTATTCACCAAACAAAGTCAAATATTGAATATCCTTATATTCATAATATTATTACTTGATTTTTTTAAAGCATATAATCTACATTATGTGATTGCAAGAGCTTCTCCTTCAAAATAATGATTTACTTGTTTTCCATTTTAAAACATGATGCCATCAGCAATGAACATAATTGTATTTTCAACTCTTACAATTTATTTATGTATAATTATCATTCTATCAAGGTACTAGAATAAGAAAGTTGGTAATGTGGAATATTTGTTTAAAAGTTTATTTTAAGTTATCAATTATAAATATTTGAAATCTTCCTTAATTTCATAATCTAAATTTGGCCATATGTTATTCACTTTAATTATCAAGACTCTATTATTATAACTTTCTTTAATTAATGTATAAAAAGTTTATTAACTAAACCCCATTTATGTAAATGCTTAATTTGGTAAAAATATAAATTAATCTGTTGTGAGTTTCCCATCTAATGGGATATAGATGTTTTCTCCTTTATCATAAAGTCTAGAACTGCTGCAATCAAAAGTTGGTTCTATTTTAATATTCAATTTATTAATCATTGGAATTTCTAANAATTAAAAATATTCATTTTATTAATTAATTCAATATTTTATCAAATTCAATAAACTTATTTTAAATCAGTTTCTTCTAGCATTGATCTTTCTTTTTCTTCTTTTACTCTAATTATTATTAGTATTCTTCTACATTAACAAAACTTTTAATAATTGGTAAACATTATTATTAGACATCAGATTGCTAATATTATTATATCTAATCAATATTTCTCTGTCTGATATTAGAACTGTTCATTTTAACATGGGACTATCTATTTCGTAACGGTGTGTAATTGATTTTTTTGATTTCTCCTAGTGATGGTTGCTCTTTTTAAGTTTTATTTATTTCTCTTGCAACATAAATACGACGAAATATCTACTTTTTTTATTAACTGGTATCATCTTGATTACTTGTAGTTCTTTATCTAACACTATTTTATTATTATTATTAATTTTAAATCTATTAGATAGTAATTTATTATTATGGATCACTAGTTTTCTTACCAAAAATTTCATTCAATTTTTATCTTAATTAAGAATAATCTTCACCTTTTATTAATTCTTTTATAGTTTTAATATCTTTGATAACACTTGTTTAAGTATATTTTGGAGAATCAAATTATAGAACTGCAGACTTAAGCATATATTCATTATTATGCAAATTCAATTTGACATCCTATTCACCAAACAAAGTCAAATATTGAATATCCTTATATTCATAATATTATTACTTGATTTTTTTAAAGCATATAATCTACATTATGTGATTGCAAGAGCTTCTCCTTCAAAATAATGATTTACTTGTTTTCCATTTTAAAACATGATGCCATCAGCAATGAACATAATTGTATTTTCAACTCTTACAATTTATTTATGTATAATTATCATTCTATCAAGGTACTAGAATAAGAAAGTTGGTAATGTGGAATATTTGTTTAAAAGTTTATTTTAAGTTATCAATTATAAATATTTGAAATCTTCCTTAATTTCATAATCTAAATTTGGCCATATGTTATTCACTTTAATTATCAAGACTCTATTATTATAACTTTCTTTAATTAATGTATAAAAAGTTTATTAACTAAACCCCATTTATGTAAATGCTTAATTTGGTAAAAATATAAATTAATCTGTTGTGAGTTTCCCATCTAATGGGATATAGATGTTTTCTCCTTTATCATAAAGTCTAGAACTGCTGCAATCAAAAGTTGGTTCTATTTTAATATTCAATTTATTAATCATTGGAATTTCTAACATGATAAAATTAATATCAACAAAAATTGTTGATATGGATTTCTTTATATAATTATTTCAATAATTAAAAGATCTATATTTTAATTTTAAAATGTGTATAAGAGTTGATAAGATAATTTATCAACATAATTCAAATTTATTATTTACTATAATACATAAAATAAAAAGTATTTAATTTTACATAATAATTCAATCGTGCATTTTCTTTTGAAATTTATCAAGATTGAACATTATAAGAGATATTTCTAGGTCACATAATTAATTATAGATAAGAAAATTAAAATTTAATAAACAATTTAAAATAAAAGAAATAAAGAAATGGTTTTCTTCTAGCGTTGGGTGAAGTATTAGATCTATGTTTTAACTTTGAGACATTATATATGAACATTCAAAGTCATAGAAACATATGGTTTTGAAATAGGATCATGATTCCTTTTGATTTTTAAGGTACCTGCATTTACTTAATTTAATTCGTAATTACTTAAGGTCCATTATTAATAAAAAGAATATTTATAAGTTAGAATAAAAAATATGGCATTAATCAGAGATCATAAAACTTGCTAATTCTGATTTAAACAATACACACGACTAACAAATCTGAAAATAGACTTAGTAAAATAATGAATAATCAAACTTTATTGAAATCTTTTACATATTTCAATTATTTTGAATCACTAAGTCTAGAAGCCATCATTAATAATAATAAAATGAAAATAAAGAATTTTATTCTTAATTAATTATAAGGTATGTATTGAATTAAGATTATAATTGTTTTAGAAATTATTATGAAGATCTTTTCAAAAGAACACATGATTTTAATTGTTTATTAAGAATATGGATTCTTTATTTTATTCTTCAAGATTAGTTTTAGTGATTAACCTGTTGATTTTAATATTAGATGTTTTTGCATATTATCTATAAAATTATGTAAATGAAAGATGCTTAATCACAAAATTAGAAAGAACCTATTACAAAAAATTATTGAATCTCCAAGCCCTGGGTATTAGTTAATCAACTATAGGATGAGATGGATTACTGAGTAATTTATAAATAAACATCATTTGATAAATTATTATTTGGCTAAGAATTGGAAAAAGTAAATTACTTTTTAAAATATATTCAATAAATCGAGAAAATTGAACTATTTCTATCCATCTATTTAATGATTAATCTTTGAAGGTAATATAAATAAAAAATTCAACTTTCCTTATTTGAAAAAATTGATTCTATTTTGAAAATGTATTTAATTCTTATCCTAGTCATATTTAAATTCATTATTTAGATTTTTTATTTAAAAAGGAGCAAACCAAAATTAATTTGATAATTAAAAAAAGCAATAAGATAATTTTTGAGAACCTGCTTTAATCAATAACTAGATAAAATAGTTTAAAAATATAAGATTTTACAATTGCCTATTTAATAAGAACTAAATATAAAGAGATAGAAAGTTATATAGGATGTAATCAATTCATTATTTAGTATAATTTTTGATATTATTAAATGAATTTCTGAAATTCTAAACTTTTATCAAGAATTTTAAAGATTATACCTTCAAATTTGGATTAAATTTTTTTTAATATAAAAATAATAGATAATCAATTAATAAATATGAATATTGAGAAGATGGAATGGAAATATAAATTGAATTATCCTTTTTCTAGAAATTTAATTAATCATTAATTAACATAGACTGGAATGTGACGTTCTGAAAACTTTTTAGCCTTAACTTTGATATTTTCAACTATCATAGGCTAGATATCACGACCATTTATAGGTTCATCATTTAGTTTAAATTGAGGTAATATTGCAAGAATAATTCCTCCGTTTTGATAGTGTGAAGATACTTCTCTAATTTAAACTCTAGTAAAGAAAGCTGTGCCTTTAATTAAGGGTACACATAAATGTCCTTTTAATATTTATTCACCTTTGTTATTAACTTTGATTTCTTTTGGATACTATTCTTAAGAATAGATTGCAACAACCAATTCAATTTTATTAGGATTACGGACTAATTCTCCATTCTTATTTTTAAGCTCAACTCTTAATTAAAAGATACGATCTCTATAAAGTGGTGTTTCAAGAGGATCTGCTAGAGTTAACCTGTATTTGTATTACTTATCCAGTAACTATTATAATAAAAATTAATAAAGTTACAGATCTTAAGTTGAAGGATATATTTAATTAGGAATTAGTGAATAATTCATCATTTCGTTTAATTAAGATTTATGAGCAAGAGAATTCAGGTTTTCCTTATTAAAGGAGTTTATTATTAATTTATTGAAATTTAAGCAAATAGTCTGTAAGAAGATTATTGAATTTATCTTAGCTTGTATTGAGTTAATCCAAAAGAGTTTTGTAAGCATCAACTTATTTGTCTAGCAATTCAAAAAACTGGGATTATTGAGTTAAAATGTTTTGCATAATTTTTTGGGAGTAAAAATATTAATATAAATATTAAATAAAAAATAGTATAATTATTAAATTCATTTGAATTAATTCACAGATTCATAATAAAAATGATTTAATCCATTTAGGTTATTCTTGATCTTAACTAGGACTTTGCAGAATTAAATCTGAACATTAAATGCCCTAATTTGGTAAGCCTAAATATAATGAATAAATAAACCTTCCTAATATTTTATTCTTCCTGTAAATAGTGGAGTTCTCATTAACATATGTATCTATTCTTGATCATTTTAACTCTAACTAACTTTCAGTTCTTAAGTTTTGTATATTTAATGATCATCACTAATTTAATTTAATTTTTTTAGATCTAATCTAATATATTTAGAATTCAATTTAGTTATTATTTCTTCGAGTCTAGGTTCATCATCTCTTTACATCAATTCTAATTCATCTTCATCAAAAGAACGAAAATATTCATGTTATATAGCCAATTTGGATGTAATTCTATTTTAAGGATCACATTATAGCATCTGAAATAATAAGTCTTTCAAATTCTAAGATGCTTAATTTAGCTTATCTGTTTATAAATCAATAATTCCTGTTCTATTTGATTTAACTATTGAATTATAACTTTTGCCTTTAAAAGCAGATTACCCTGTGATTAAAATATAAAATATGACTCCAAGAGAAAACATATCACAGACCACTCCATAAGGTTCTGTTTCATTCTGTAAATTTATGATTTCAGGTGCTATAAAACCTGGAGTACCACATCTAGAAAAAATAAATGGAACTTGATCAACATAAGTGGCTAAACCAAAATCTGCAATAACAACAGAATTGAAGTTACTATAAAAATAAAACAGTCTTATTACTCAGCCTCTCTAAAGAGAATATTTTCTAATTTCAAATCTCTGTGCATTAGACCCTTTTCATGAATGTAAGCTAGACCTTCCAATAGACCTTTCATAATATTATAAATCTCCATAGAAGTAAATTTCCTTTTTGCTTTTTAAAGATCATAAAGCAAATCACCTTCTAGTAACTCTAAACCCATATAAATTGAGTTTTGGGTTTCATAAACTTCATATAATTTCATCAAATTTTTGTGTTCTAAAACTCTCATTATTTGAATTTCATTAACCAATCCTTCCTTTGATATATTTTAATCTTTTTTACTTTTCCTTTCTCCTATTTATAGATGACATTTTTGCAAAATGCTTTTACAGCCATTTTCATTCCATCCTCAATTCTAGTGGCTAAATATACTGAAGCAAAACTTCCTTAACCAATCAACCTGTAAACTTTGAAATACTAATGAAAGCCAATCTAATTCATTCTCTTTCCTAAAAATTATCTCAGCTTTTGTAATTCTCTTAAAGATCCTTTAAACTCGCATTACTTTAATGTGTTTTCTCTAAATAATTTAATTGCATAAATTTCCCCCAGTTGTATAATGTTCTCTCCTTTCCACTCTGATTAAGTGGAATTTATTAAAAGTGAAGGACTTCTTAAAACTTAAAACTTGTAATCAAATCCAATTCTTAAATATTTGTAGGCTTTACTATATTTGGAATCCTTCCTTTATAAATAATCTAAATTACTTTAAAGATGACTATTTCTTTATTACTACACTATAGATAAACAAAGGTAGAATTTTTACTAATTTTTTGTAATCTTAAACTTATTTCTGGCTATGTAAACTATTAGATTTAGTCTACTTAATTCCAAATGCCTTTTATGTACATTTTTTATATTTACAAATACTTTTAGGTTATATTCTTAACTTAAAAAAGATATTACAACTCTATATAGTAAAACTGGTTTTTAATAAAAATTGTTCATATATATATTATTTTATCACATCATCTAAAACCAGGTCTAAATCCTGATCCAACTTGACTATTTCCTAATTGAACCATTTCTGCTTTTTAAACAAGAGGAACTTCATCAATTTAATTAGCAAAAACAATGGCCTCACCCAAACCTTATAATTAATTTAATTTAATTACAATGAGCTTTATCAATACCTACACTTTCAGTATCAGCATCTATTCTAAGTACTCCAAATCCCTTTAAAACAAGTAATGTAATCAAAACAAAGAAGGCAACCCATACAAATATGATCAATAATCCTAACAATTACATTCCTAATAATTTAGCACCAAATCCATAGAAAACACCTGCTTTAGTATCAAAGAATGCTGATAAGAAGATTCCCAAAAATCCATTACCCTAAAATAAATGATATATAATACCAAAAACACAGGTACAACTTCAACAGGATCATCAATATGTACTTTTGGAATGACTTTAGCCAAAACACTGTATAAGACAGCAGCCAATAGACCATAAATGAATGCAGTCCATGGTTTCATATCATCAGTAGCTGCACTTACAGCCACTAAAGCACTAATAATACCTCTAGATAAGGCTACTAAACTTGTGGTCTCATTTTAGAAATATCTAATGATAAAAGCGAAGAATCCACCAGTTGCTCCAGCAATCAAAGTATTGACAGCAACTAATCCTTATGTGTATTTAGAATTAGCTCCTTATGCTACAATACCTCCATTATAGAATAACCATCCAGCAAAGACTAAAATTGATCCAAAAGCAATATAAATTGGGGAATGTCTTTAGAATTATAAGGTTGTATTTGGATCAAATCTAAATCTTCTTGGTTTCAATAATACTGTAACAACTAATCCAGCAACACCTGCAGCGAAAAATACAACACCAGCACCTGAAAAATCTTTATATCCCAAAGTTGTTAACCTATTTATTTTCTTAATAATCAATACCATCCTTATGCTAATGTCCAATGTGCTAATCCAGCATATATGAATCCTGCATATACAATTGTTAATATTGACCATGCTAAGAATGTCATTCTTTCTGCTGCTGCTCCAGATAATACTGATACTGCAATGGCTGCACCTGATGCTCTGAATACTAAATAAATTATGAATATTAATAAAATACCAAAGTTTGTATAATCATTTCCGTATTGATTTGCTTCCCAATTTGCACCACCTAATTTTGTACCTCCCATAAAGTTTGTTTAGAAATCATATCCAAATGCGAATCCATATCCAAACTATATTTATTAACTTCATTTATTACCAACCACCATATTAAAATTGTCAAGAATAAACCCAATATCACTTTTATGACTATTGATTAAGAATTCTTATATCTCACTGATCCTGCTTCAATAAATGCAAATCCCACTTATGTCAACACGATAATGAACCCTGAAATAAGAACCCAATCGTAATCAATAGTTGAAGCTGAAGGTGTTGGAATATTTGCTATTGCAGGTGCAGCTGTATATTTAAAATGAATATTTACCTGTTTCTCCTTCTTAATGCCTAAAAAGATGACCCATATCTTGCGTTATTTAAATTTTTAAAATAAATTTATTTCATAAATAAATAAAAAATGCCATTTATATTTATGAATTATACTTAATCTGACACCAACTTTTATTATTTATATTAAATTATCATACTCATTTCTTCAATTTTATAAATATTATTATCATATCTCTAAAAATTATTTTTTCGAGAATTATAAATAAATTTATTAAATTTTATTTATGTTTTTGCAATTTTAATTCAATATATATATAATATTATAACAAATTTAATACTCTTATAAATAGCTTTTATCTGAGGGAATAAATATTATACTCATTCTGTCTGTTAACCTTTTCTATTAGAAATTGAATTGAATTAAAAATGAAAGAAATCTATCTCTGTTTAACTTTTTAACAAACCCTTAAGCAAGTATCTTTCTCTAAATGCTGGATATAAATTTTGTCATTTTATATATAAAAATTTGAATTTAAATTCAGAGGGAAAAATTCATATTACAATGAGCTCAGATTTTAAATAAGATGGAACTCCATTTACTAAATTGTTTTAAAGATTAGAAAAAATTCATCAATCCCCAGTTTTTAACGCTGATTGTCTCCAAAACTAAGATGACATGTATATAAAAGACTAGTCCCCTGAATAAGTATGTAAGAAATTAGAATTCACTCCATGTTTGAAGTCTCCTAATCAGTATTGAATTTGCATTATAAATTTTAGATTCTAACCTTATTCTCCATTAAATCATTAGACAACTAAAAAGGCAAATATATTTGTAATTTCTCCAGCCAGATAAATCAACTTTGACCATACAAAGACAGAATAACGACTTGTTAATATAAGTTCACCTCTCAGTTCAATGAAGATACCAGATGATCTATTATGTGAAGAAGAAGAGATCTAATCTGAAGATCAAGATAATCGTTCTCAATTCAGAAGTCCTCCTAAATCCCCTTATAGAAAATTAGAAAGAGCTACAAAATTGAAATTCATCAATTTTGTTACCTTAAAAAAACCACTAAAATTTACAAGTGATTAAATAACAAATAGAAAACGTACAAGTTCTAAAAGAAGAAAACCATAAACAGAATAAAAACCAAAAATAATTGTATGTAATTGTAAAAAATCTAAATGTCTTAAATTATATTGTGATTGCTTTGCTGCAGGTGTAACATGTGGTAAAGATTGTAATTGTTGTTCTTGTCATAATAATGATGATCATCCAAAAGAAAGAGAAACTGTAATCAAATAAATCATGGAAAGGAATCCATCTGCATTTCGCCCTAAAGTTGAATCTAAAGTATATAATTTTTTTATCAATTAGAGTAATTCAGAAGATGAATAAGATCATAAACCAAGACATTTTAAAGGATGTAATTGTAAAAAATCGAATTGTTTAAAAAAATATTGTGAATGTTATTAAATGGGAGTTAAATGTTCTGAATTATGTAAATGTGATGAATGTAAAAATTGTGAAATGCCTGTTAAAAAGGATTCTAGAAAAAGGATAAAACATGTCCATTAAAATTGTAAAAATACTGAAATCTATTGATTTATTGATTTCAGTTTTTGGGCTTTTTTTTCAATATATTGCTATTCATTCTATTAAGAATTTTATTTTTATTAAATAATGATTTA